TTGCGCGCTTCCCATTAGGGAAGCTGGCGCGGGAGCGGTTAGGGTACCGGGCTTCCACAGTGTTGGAAGATTGCACGGTGACTCTCAGTGATCCGTTATCCTCTTTTCTTTGTCTGCACCCGGACGGCGCCCAGTGTGGCGCCAGTCGCGATTGCAGCTACTTCTTTCTTGGAACCTACCACAGTGTTGGTCAGGAGACACCTAGAAAGAACTGGAGGTGGCCACATTGTTGGCACTCGAGGGCGGGGCTGGTTACTATGGCCAGTCGAGCTTCCCTTCTCCAGACCGGCTGTCACCCGCGTGTCTAGATGCTTATCCACTGGACCCGGGTGATGCGCCATGGACTGACCAAGTTCTCACAGGAGGACGAGGTCAGAGGTACGTCGATTGATCCTTTCGGGGACTTCGTGTGGGTGGGCCTTGAGGCTCACTCAACTTACCCTTTATGCCAAATTATTATCTTGATTGACTAGAAAGCTACTTTGTACAGGTAATCTTCGATTAGCCAGGAAAGTAGCGCCCAGAGGAGAGAGAGAGAATGAGCTGTTATTTATTATTGCAGCTCAGTCGATACTCGCTCCTTATGCTCTTATCTGGCCGGCGCTGCTGAAGCAGCCCGCCGGCGAAATTCTTTCTCCCCGTGGCCAGCCGAACCTATTTTAGAGAGAGGGAGTTTAGCTAGTAAACTAGGGTAGTGGGGTGGGCCTTGAGGCTCACTCAACTTACCCTTTATGCCAAATTATTATCTTGATTGACTAGAAAGCTACTTTACTAGGCTTTACCACAATGAGCTCTAGTTTTATTACATTAAGCTTAAGCTTTTTTAAAATATTATGCCCTTCTTCGCGCTGCCGCTGCCCTTGTCGGCCCAGTTCGTCTTGCGCCCAGTCGCTGAGCAGCAGGACCCTCGGCGGCGAGGCAAAGCTCACTAGTGGAGCTCGAGCAGAAATGCAGAGCTCTCATTGGTCGGACGTATCTCACTGCAAGCAATTCATTGTACAGAGCATGGCCCCACGATCTATGAAGCTGGGTTTGGCATGTTATGCTTCACGGGGGAAGAAAACGAGAGCACTTCGCCGTAGGAACTCGGGCTCGGAGACCTCGAAACTCCAGTCCGTGTCGCGGGCGAACACGCAGAAGCCGAGATCACTCTTGCCCGCCCCCCTCGCGTCACGCGTCGCGCCCCCACAGGGCCGCTCAGCTTCTGCAGCCCCTCGGATGACATGGAGTGTTTTTTCGAGACCGCCGACCCCGGGTTTCTACTGCGAACTACCCTCACTTTCTCCCCCGAAGACCCGGAACATGCCGAACCCAGCATCAGCGATCGTTGACGGCCATGCTCGATAGCAGTAGCTCGCCTGCAGTGACTGCCAGTCGTTGATATCATTATAGTGAAGTTATTCTCATCGAGTCAGCGGTTGAATTCATCGATCTTGACTAGGCTTTACCACAATGAGCTCTAGTTTTATTACATTAAGCTTAAGCTTTTTTAAAATATTATGCCCTTCTTCGCGCTGCCGCTGCCCTTGTCGGCCCAGTTCGTCTTGCGCCCAGTCGCTGAGCAGCAGGACCCTCGGCGG